GGGGGGGGGGGGGGCAGTCACCCTCTGCCCTCTCCCTCATTGATCAGGTGGTGACTTGGGAACCAAGGTTTCCATCAAGACTATCTGGTGAGCGTGTGAGACAGATAAATTCTAATGTCGTCCAGCCTTGATGAGTTTGGTCCCTGCCCTTGAGACCATGCTCTTCCAGTTTGGGTTGGGGTGAATGGGGCGGGGGTGTTTGAACTGAGATCAGTGAGCAAATAAGTAGACACAAAGGGAGAGTAAGATTTGTCTCCAGAGACAGGGAAAACAGCCCAGGCTTGGAGGAAAAAGGCTGCAGTCTGTTGCTTAGGGCCTCTGAGCCTCTGAGCCCCTGAGCCTCTGACTGGAGCCCTGGAGGGAGGGCTCTGGAGGGAGAGACTTGGGCTAGGAATTCTGGCCTCACCTTTAATCAGCTGTGATGCTGGGCAAGCCACAGAAATCCTCCGCCAGTGTCCTTATCTGTAAAATGGGATAATGCCTTAAGCAAGGTCCTACCTATAAAGCATGCAGTAAGTACTCAATAAACTTTAGTGTCTGGCGCTTCTTGAACCCATAAGGAGTGTGGTCTCTTATGGAGGAGGGACCTTCGCACCTTTCATGCCCTGGGCCCTGAGGCAGCCTCACTTTGCTCCCCGCCCCCACCCGGATTAGGCTGATGGGCTTGCTCTAAACCTCGCAGACTCCTCTGGGGCAGCTCCTGGGGCAGGCAGGCTGCTGTCAGTGACCGTCGCCCCTTTTCTCTCCGCCAGGGATGCTGCCTTGAGCAACTGACCCCGCTGCAGATTGCACATGCCAGCCCTGCCAGAAAACGGAGGACCCCGCAGACCCAGTCGTCCCGGCCGGCACCCCTTCTGCACAGAACCGCGGGCTGCAGGCTTCCCCGCGGCTGCCAGGGCCTCTGAGGCGGGGGGCCGGCAATTCTGCCTCATGCGTGGGGCATTTCGCTAGCCATGGCCCTGCTGCTCAGCATCCTGCTGCTGCTGGGACTCTGCCCGAGAGCCGCTTCCCAGGGGCCCTCGTCCCCAGGCCGTCCCGAGGGCCTGGACTTTGAATTGCCCAAAGCAAACTATGAGACCAAGGACTCCTACAGCCCTGGGCCCATTGGCCTTCTCTTCCCGATGGTCCACCTCTTCCTGTACGTGGTGCAGCCCAACCCTTTCCCAGAGGGTAAGTGACCTCGTGAAGCGATCGGTGGGGCGCTCAGCCTGGTGCTAGTGACCAGGCGACCGGCCCCTAGAGAGTGCAGTCGGGTTCTGAAGCGGGAGGTTCGGGGTGACTGATTTGCACAAGAGCAGGAAGTAGTGAGAAGTGAAGAAAACTTGTCCCAGGTTAAATAGGCTGTCAGGAGTGCGAGGGCAAGAGATGAAATCAAACTGCGGATATATTGGTTTTACAGTTCATTTTTTTTTTTAATATATCTTTATTGATTTCAGAGAGAGGAAAAGAGAGGGAGAAAGAGATAGAAGCATCAATGATGAGAGAGTCATTGATCGAACCCACAACCTGGACATGTGCCCTGACCAGGAATCGAACCCTGATCTCCTGGACCCCAGGTCGATGCTCAGCCGCTGAGCCACGCCCGGCCGGGCTGGTTTTACAGTTCTTTACCCTCCTTCTCTCTCTCCTCCCCT